TTTACATAAGCAACCGCTACTGGAATACAATTATCGAAAATAATTACCAAAACTTTTTCTTTCCCAGAATTTCTAATTATTTTTTTGCATGCCTCGTTCTCCCGTTCATGCCCAGCAGTGTTCGTCTTGTGGCTGAACAAGTAAGCCAGTGCCTTGTTGCATAAGATGGATTTGAAATTAGACATGACGCCTGATAGAGATGTATGGATGACAGAAATATTTCATTAGTAAAAGATTTTTTTTTAATCTTCGCAGTATTTTAAGTTTATCCTAAAGAAAGAAAACGTTACACTTGCATATTAATATAGATTAATTTTCCTGTTTAAAATTATATTTAGCTTGGATATCTTAATAGTTGTTCACTGGAATTAATATATTATTTTATATCAAGTAAACATTAAGATAACCTTTAACTTCTATTTAATAACAATTTAAGAATTCTCTCTGATTATGTGACGAAAGTCGATGAGAAGAAGACATTTATCAAAATGAAAACATTTCAAACTATTCTATTTTTAATTTATTTTGAGTGCGTGTACAGTTATTTTACCTTACCAGGAAATTGTCCTGAGAATGTGACATTACAGGAAAATTTTAGTTTGGAAGAGGTTTGTACATTTTCTGTTATGTTTTTGAGGAAATTACTAAATCTTAGTAATATTATAAATGGAATTGGATAAACTGATATATAAACACGGCTTAACACTCACTTATATTCTTCGTACTACTCGTATTATTTCGCGGACGCGGCCCGTCGTTCACTGCGTGCCTGCGCTCTTATAATAATACCAGTACCACTTATCCTGATGAAGGGCCCCCGATGGGCTCGAAACTAGTCGGTGCCGCCACCGGTCGAATATACGTGAGTGTTTAGCCGTGTTTATATCAGTTTTGTATAATGTCTCACGAAAGTTTGAATAATTTAATGGAATTGGATAGATTGAAGTTTGTGAGAAGGTATCCAGAACGGTTACATGGCTTACGGCCAAACTTGGCATAGATTAAGAACATAGCTTTGATAAACATATATGCTACCAATTATTTTTTTTTATTTCGAGCGGACGCAATTGCGGGCGATGACTAGTATGATCATATTGGTGAAATCTGATTCATGTTTAGTTTAGGTAGATATAAAAATTATGTTTTTAATATACCAGTTTCTATCGATATGCCTATAAGAGATTTAACCCTTTTCTCTCTGTAAATATTGTATTGTGTGTTTAGCAAGCTATATTTATCTTATGTTTAAACTAATATTTTAAATCCATTATAAATCTGGATTTTGAATAAATTTTCTTATATTTCAGTTTGGTAAAACCTGGTACCAGGCCTATCATTATTCTAGCGATGGTCAACTTTTGAACAATTGTTCTACAGTTGAATTATTATACAAACCAAGTGGGATTTATGTCAACATCTCGAGAGTTGATCGTGGCCTTTTCCATCGACAAAGTATTGGTCAACTGAAGCTTGTTTCGCCCAAAAATGGAGCTTCATCTGATTTTGAATTAACTTTCACGTTTGAAAATGCACCAAGAAGATGTAAGTATAATATAAACAGAATTCTAAAAAATTAGCGAAAAAACGAAAAAAATGTAACTGGCCATAAATTTTTTCATAGCTAAAAATTCGAATTTTTTAAAATCTTTGTTTTAAAATGCAACCAACAGATGACGCTATTTCATCTATTAGTCTCTGCCAGTCAGTTTGATTTTTTTTAGGTTTAATTAAGTTTAGGTTATTAAATATTATGCTTTTTTACAAAAAGCTTCTACAAATGGTGAGAAGAAATAGGACATCTTAACATCCCAATTATTTTCCTAAAGAAAACTAGGTCAACGTATAACAAAAAGTTTTCAAAATTACTAACATTAATTTACTATAAAAGCGTCGGTGGCTCTCCTCAAGCAATTTACTTGCAATCTGCAGGTCGTGGGTTCGAATCCCACCATGTACCAATGTGTTTTTCGATTTCCGATTTACATATGTACATTTATCCGACGTTTTTACGGTGAAGGAAAACATCGTGATGCAACCAGCACATATCTGTGAAGAAATTCAAAGATATGTGTGCAGTCAACTAACCCGCACTTGGCCAGCGTGGTTGACTATGGCCTAGCCACCCTTAACTTAGGATAGGCTCCGAGTCCTTCGGTGGGGACATATAGTAAGCTGATGATGTCAATATTAATTTACAATATTTTCAGTGAAAGTAAGAAGGTACCCATTCCAAGTTTTGGCAACTAATTACAAATATTACGCGACTTTATACACTTGTCAATACAGTCCTTTGATAAACAAACACTTCAGTAAGTAAATAATTTTATTTTTTAACTTAATATTTACTAATTAAGAAAATTGTTTAATAACATTCTAACCATTTCAAATTAATAGGAAGCTTGAATATTGTAGAGTTCACGAGGTAGCCTAGCCTAATTGCTTGTTAATACATACATACAAGAGGACGCGGGCGCGGGCATGTACCAATCGTTACTGCCACATTCAAAGGAATTAAACAACCGCTAAGGGTGTCTCTGAGTGAAGATTTCACATATTAGAGCTACGCTGAGGCCATCTTTTTTGTGCGAAAGTTAAAGTATGTACATTTTCTTTCAGTTTATATATGGATCCTGTCTCGCAATCCGACATTAAATGATGTATCTAAAGAGTTGGCTCAGAAACCTCTGACACAACTTGGTATCAACACGAATAACTTGGTGAAGGAAAGTTGGTCAAAATGTTCGCCCAAATATTACGAATCTCAGGCCACGGATCCTAGGACTTTCAGATTCTCTGTTCCAATATAAACAAATATTAAATAATTTGAAAACATATAATTGTTTACTTCTTAGCCTTTTTAAACCATTATATCATTAACTAATTGCATATTGTAATCAGTGGCTCAGGTGTTGAGCGCTTAACTTGTAATCTGCAGGTCCAGAGTTCGAATCTTGACATATACCAATGTGTTAGATTTACATATGCACTTTCTTCCATCATTGTTAAGGTAAAAGAAAGTTTAGGAAGGAAGGAATAGATTCAAGAAACGAACAGTTATTTCTTTTATGAGTTATTTATTAATTTGTTCAAAGTAAATCACAATTCATTGTTTTCTTCATCTATAACATCTTTCGCATTAAAATGAGCTGTCCATTGATGTGTACATTTTTCAATATTTTGAAGCAC